CACATCCTGGGAACAGTTGTTAAGTAAGTATAGCCCACACTCTAACAACTACATATTATCATAGTACACACAGCCGTACTTCACCTGAATACACATCCTGGGAACAGTTGTCAAGTAAATATAGCTCACACTCTAACAACTACATATTATCATAGTACACACAGCCGTACTTCAGCTGAAAACCCATCCTGGGAATAGCACCGACAGCACGTACTAATACGTTTAAAGTTATGAGTTAAGGAAGTATATCCGGCGGAACGTCAATAGCACACACAGTAATGCTTCCAGCCACGAGTTCAAGGAAATACAGCCCACCCTGAAACTACATATGCCATACACATACTTGAGAATTGAACCGACGTTAGCGTAGAATATGGCTGTGAGCACGCAGCACGTGACGATGATGGTATTCAGAGTGAACACTGGGCCGGGGCTGTGTATATTGCACGAAAGGCAGACGTTAGTGTCAGAGGCAAGCACTGGTGAAGTGAATGTAAATGGGATATACTAGCTGGCCTACAGCATTACCTCAGGGTTTAGGATTTTAGATTCCAGGGTTTTAAAGGCGACCTACCCTATAGAATACTTGGGAACATATATATATATATATGTATATGCGTGTGTGTATGCATACATACATGCATACACACACACACACAAATATATATATATATATATATATCTATATGTGCTCTAAACTTGTCTATAAAAATATAGATATATAGATATAGATATAGATATGCTTCATACTCAGCTGTAGAAAATACAGGTAAACATTCAATATATATATATATATATATATATAATACTTCATATTATACTAAGTGACAATCAATCTATCGCGATCCCCACATCCGGTCTCAACAACACAGTAACACGCCATACATACCCTGGGTAGTCTTGGCCGTACATGACTTGGAAGACTTGTATCCGAATCACAAAGCAGATGAGCGGATAACTGTGGGAGTGAAAACCAGATATGTTGAGAGAAAAAAACCACATATTCTAACGGGAATATAACAAGAAGAAAAAAACTCCGGTTTAACTATATCTATATCGTGAAAATAATAATATGAAAAAGTAAAAGATCTCTGGCTGAGCCATATCTTGATGAGGAGAGGAGAGGAAAGGAAGAACTCTTTTAGAATTTAGGGGTTTGGAGGACCAAAAAGGAAAGGGAAGGGAAGAGTTCTTGAACTTAGAATACATTTGCACAACGAACAGGTCACCATGCGACATCTGTAGCGAAGTGGGTACTCTCTCAGATTACATACGCCTATAGCCGATATACACACACACACTGTGTACAATTAAAATGATTTCAACGTAATATGTACATACAAGATATCTATAAGTATCTACAACTATAGGTATATATAAACATATACCTATATACACACTCACTCATACTCATACGTGTACACAGAAATTACGCATACACATACACCTATGCACATACACACACACATACATAGATACACAAACACATACATAGACACACACATACATACATAGACACACACACATACATATATACAGAGCTTACACGTGACAATCTGGGGCAGTAAGTACACACTACATATAAAAGTATACATATACATATACCTACACACACACACATAGATACATAGATACATACCTACACATAAAACACACACTCACATACACACCCACACCCCCAGAACTTACACAGTGATAATCTGGAACAGCAGGAACACTCGGCACACCAACGCCCAGTAGTTGTCCGACCCAAAGCTGTCGAGGATGTTGGAGGGGATGTCCTTGTGAAAGCCCTTGTAGGCGATGAAGAAGGTCACACCCACCAAGAGATAGGTCATGGCTGTACACCCGAACGCAATGCTGATGTCACGTACCTGTGGGTAAGAGAGTGTGAACACGTGCATGGCGTGTGACAGGTGAATGAGTGATCATGCGTAGACAGGAGAGTGTGAACACGTGCATGGCGTGTGACAGGGGAGTGAGTGATCACGCGTAGGCAGGAGAGTGTGAACACGTGCATGGCGTGTGACAGGGGAGTGAGTGTTCACGCGTAGGCAGGAGTGTGAACACGTGTATGGCGTGTGACAGAGGAGTGAGTGATCACGCGTGTGACAGGTGAGTGAGTGATCACGCGTAGGCAGGAGAGTGTGAACACGTGCATGGCGTGTGACAGGAGAGTGATCACAAATAGTCGACGAGGGAAGGACCGGTATTCCGGGTGGGTTAACGGAAATCAAATACGGACCGCTAACCCGTACTATGGGTTGTGTTTAATATAATACACTCCTGTCTTCGAGTGATAGTGAGCCAGGGACGTATACAGCAGATACAAGCACAACACCCAACGCCCAAAGCTCAAACTTAGGACTACCCAAACCATACTTCATGCACAGCCACTCCTAACCCCGACCTGTGTGTTTCTCCTAGTGCCCGTTTTCCTCCCTACGTTTTTCTCCCGGTGTACGTTTTCCTACTTACGGTTTGTCTCCTAGCACCCGTTTTCCTACCTACGTTTTTCTCCCGGGGTACGTGTACGTTTTCTGACTTACATTTTTGTCCTGGTGTTCGTTGTTTCTGAGGATCGCCAGCACCATGTTGTGCACGAAGAAACTCAGAAACAGCACACCGGTCATGGCGGGGAATTTACCGCTATACAGAGGCATGGGCGTACCATCAGGCTCACTCAACGAGAAGCCGGTGGTCAGATTCTGCAGGGCAAAGATGAGGATGTACACAATCGACACCACGCCTGGGATGGAATGCATGGGCAGAACGGAAGAGAAAGAGAAAGGGGGTGAGAGGGACTCAACACGTGTGAGGAGTGTGTATGATGAAGGAAACATTGGAAGTGGAGCATAAAATGGATGAACCATTTCTAGTAATACATAAAATGGATGAAATATTATAAGTATTACATACGATGTTTCATTCATGGCAGCAACACTAAAAAACCAGTCATTTTCATCCATACTGGAAACCAAGGCGAGTCTTTATAATACTCTCTCACGCCAAACACCACTTAAAACCCTAAATCCCAAGGCATAAAAACTTCACGAAATGGGGTCACCACATACCTAGTCAATTCAAACTCGGTGAACAGAAGCATGTCCTCTGTGTTGATAGTCAGCAGTAACTGGAACACAAACTATCAGCCAAACCCGTTCATACTACAAACAAAGGCAAGCCTTTATACTGCTCTCTCTCTCTCACTTTGCACCTCATGAACCAAACAAAGTCAACCGCCAAACCCTAAACCCTAATACTTCACAACACACTCTCTCATACTACACTTCACATATAAGAACCAACCCCTCATTGCCTGCGCATCACCACATACCCAGTGAATTGAACTTCGTAAATAGAGTCATCTCCTTCATGTTGATAGCCGGCAGCAACAGCAGCACTAGGAATATGGGCGCAGTCTTCAGACTCCACCACCACGTCTCGCCTGACTCGTGATGGGCCCCTAACTCCATGGTAGGGATGACTGGCTTACTGCCTGCCAACGCAAACGGTGGTAGAACGTATGTGAGACATATATCTATATACATATGTATACACACACACACACACATATATATATATATATTCGTATAGTACAAGTGCAATAACAGGTGAGATGGTAAAAGTCGTAGTATACAAAGAGAATGTACTGGGTAATCATGACTGGCAAATACGTGCTCCATGGTGGGGATGAGTGGACTGGGGTACTGTCGGCATCTATAAAAGGTCAAGGGGCGTGCACTCGTTTGTGAGATTATACTTACATAACCAAGCACAGGTATTTTAGTAACCGCACAACATCACACATGGCCGATAACCCACCGAAAGGACCACAACTGGTGCGAACCAAAAGAAATGACAGTCCAAAAAAGAGTGAAATGGGTGCAATCTCATATCGGTAAGGAAAATGGGTGCCGATGACCTATTAACCTTATATAGATATAAGGATACTCTTGGAGTATACTTCATACACTCGATAATCAGGGCAACTAATTGCAATAAAAAAAATGGTCGCCAGCACTCAGTACACCAATCAGGTTAGACAGAATCAGCCACCATGTTTTAATGAACACGCAGATAGGTTTAATTAACAATTCTCATACTGAGAACTAAAGCCTGGAATTTAAATAGAATCTAAATAAAAGCACCGCTACAACACTAACGTAAGAGAAGACATACACACACACACACATATATATATATATAGATATATAGAGAGAGATATATATAAATATATAAATATACATGCATACATGCATACATACACACACACACACACACACACGCATATATATATATATATATATACAAATGTTGTTTGCCTACCGATGCATCTGGCAACTATATCCATATACTGATAAAAAGACGATCGTATTGGATGAGACATTATACACAAAACAGGCTTCTCCCGAATATAGAGACACCATGCTTGTCTACGATTGCTTCCGCCTGAAAACTCACATACTAATGAAAAGGGCGACTGTTTTGAACAAGAAATTGGACATCAGCACCCAATACACCAGGCAGGCTCCCCCCAGCGTCAGGATTGAGAAGAACGTATTCGCTACATGGCCCGGTCTTCCGAGGTGCTCTAGGACTATGTCTGACCAGTCAATGGCGTTTTGCACGTACCTGACATGGAGAAGAAGGGACAAAGCAGAGCCGTTTCGGTACACATAACGTTAACGTAATCACTTGCACTCCTGCATACCGTGAGATCCTAATTCGATACTCAGTACTAGATTAGGATAGACATCTGAGTATGGGCAAAATAGTGTATATTTAGAGTGTGTAATTACATAAGTACGTTTTTTTACAACAAAAAACAACAACAACAAAGTTACAAGTTCCAAGTTCCAACCTCCATGCAGCAGCAGGCCAGAGCTACGTACGCAGCACAAGCCGTTGTGAAGTTGCTATAGGAATGTATACTGATCTCTATCGATTCCACAAATCTCGATGAGACTACCTATGATGGTCTTATACCTACCTATGATGGTCGCCCACCCGACAGATCAAGATGGCTGTGTACAGACACACCGATCCCACAAACACTACCAGGAATATAGCCAGCGCCCAACCGGACTGTTGTATGGCCCACGGCATACTCAGGATGGACGACCCCATAAGTGTATTCCAGATCGAGAAGATGGTCACCACACTGCCTTGTGTGAGACGCTTGCCCTGTTGAACATATATACGATGAGTGGGGTTTGAGAGGTTCTCCGGGGGGATTTGAGGTGTTTAGGGTTTTAGGATTTTGCTAAATGGAGAAATTAAATGTATACTTTTTTAGGAGGGGGGGGGGGGGGTGGTTTCTATTGGTTAAGTGTTTTAGGGTTTTAGGGCTTTAGGGTAGGTAAAAAATATGCTGACTTGTTTGGCCTGTACCCTCAATGAAAGGAGGTTTGTGTTTATGTTGTGTATCACGAAAATAAGACCTAGCATAGTGACTTGAAATTTCGATTTAATAAGCGTGCTTAAATTCTAACTTAAGGAGCGTGCTTCAATTTTAACTAAAAGGAGTGTGCGTGAAAATTTAACTTAAAAACTGCGTGCTTGAAATTTTAACCCTTTAAGGCGCGACAAACCCTAAGAACATACCTGCGCAGCTTCCTCTTTGATCTTTTCTCCGTGTAGGATGAACAGATACGACGGGACGATATGGTCTGGCACGGCCAGTTGTTGGGATGCACCCCTTTCCAGAGCGCCTGAGGTCAGCTTCTGGTAGTACTTGTACCTGGAGTACACATTCTGATACAGAAAATGGGGCATTGCACTTCAATACAGGCAGTATACTAAGGCTACTACTACTCCGGGTGCACCGTGTGATACAAAGATGAATATATTACATCCGTGTACGTGTGTATGATACTCATGAGAGTGGGTGACTCGGGGTCTATACCGTTCCAGCGGTCAGCCGCTGATAGTACCTTTAGCTGGAATCCAGATGTTGATACTGCGAAGGGACTATGCAGCTCAGTGATGTACAAATAATATCTCGTTGGTTACCTAAAGGGTATTCAGTGCCAGAGGCGAGCTCCCATATTTAGAAATAGGGTGGAAATGTTAAAAAGAAGGAAAATACGTTATTATATGATACGACTCAATCTGAAGAGCAACACAGACACGTCACGATGTAGAGCTACAGCTACAGAAAAATGTGGAAGTTCAACTGGAGTACGGGTTCTAATAAAAGGATGATTCGTAAACAAATGGGTAGTGTGCGATTTACGCATCTCTTATTGTCGGTACTCTAGACATAACAGAGTTCCAGAGGGGGGAAAGCTGCATATGATATTTACCCATGGAGCTCACACACACACATATATATATATATATAAATAAATAAATAAGTAAATTATATAAATAAATAAATAAATATATATATATATATATGTATATATATATATATATATAAGTGAGAGAGTAAGAGAGCTTAAATGTGTTTGTGAGTATATATATATACAGATATACAAATATATATCAGCCTTAATAT